CAAGAAATGGTGTATTTTGAATACACCATTTCTTGTATTCAAGTACTCCAGTCTTTGCTGCCAATTGTTATCGTCCCATTCTTATCCATACTCTTCAAGACTGCTGCAGGGAAATATGGACGCCAAGGTCACGAAGCGACTGCATCAACTCTTTGGCGTCGATGCGGCCGGCATTCTTCCTTAAGAAAGTTAATGCCATTTTCTTAAGAAAAATGGCTTAAGTTTTTATGAAATTGTTTCATTAATTTCATCAATCCCTTTAATATTGCATATTTTCAGGTAAAGCAAGGGAACTGAAAATATGCAGAAAAGGAAGGACAGTCCGGCATGGTCAAAGAGGAGTAGATAACAGTAAGTGTGATGCAGATGAAGGTTCTCAGACACCGGGGACATGACCAAACCAAACAGGTTTAAAAATAAAGCAACTTAATCACAAGAACTGAAGTACAGTTGCTTTTTAAAAACCTTGTTTTGTTTTTTGTTAGTTTGATTAACTTGTGTGTTTAATTGTTGAACAAAATCCTCATCATCAGGACAGCTGTTGCTGTTGTGTCAAACAGCAACAGTAAGGGTAGTAAAAGTACGTTATGAGTAGTTCTCCTGGACAGTGTGGAGTTTGGTGAGCATTTTGATGATGTCTCATCAAAATGCTCACCAAACATGAAGGCTTTGCTGAAGTTGGAGAATGCACTCCTGACTGGAGACAGATTCCCTAACTCAGTATCCTGAGCTAAACACAGTTGTCCCTATTTTTGAGGCAGTAGAGGTTTTAGAAGCACTGGGGTTATCTGACCAAGTAAACATCCCTCCTCAGACTTGCGCTGGTAGTGTCTGAGTCTTCATATGAAGCTGACGGAAGCTTTAGTGCACTATGCTGGAAAAGATATTTTCTGGTCTTTGCACTATTTAATCATTATTTTGCACTGAATAGTAGTTAATATACATGTAATTTATTAAAATACAAGTTTTAATTTAAATAATGTATAACTTGTGTTGACAGACACTACAATGAATCAATAACTGAGGAATTTTGTTAAGTGGGGTTATTCATTAAAACTTATTTTTATATAGAGCTTTACATTTTTGTAAAGGGGTTGCAGAGATTTGATCTGTGACAGTGACCACAAGAATCTGTGAATACAAACCAAACTCAGATCTAAACAATATTTAATTTTTAGTTTGACTTCTATGGGTCTCAACAGTTTGTTCAATGTTTGATGTTCATTGCCACTTACTAGTCACTACTGGTCTGCAGATTGAACACATTAAAAACCTTTTATCTAAGAGATATGGGGATAATAAGGGACATTGTTGTAATAATTAATATGTGACTACAAAATACATTTTAGCCATGCCATTTCATGCCATGCCATTTCATGGCACTGCACTGGTTTGTGCAGTGCTATGGCTCCATCTGTACATTCTACAAAGTTCTATTTCACTGTAACTTTGACAACCCTTGCACAAATTGCACTTAAGAAATATCTGTGTTTATTGTCCCCTGCAATAATGAAATGGAATTTCCTCCCTTGTATTTTCACCAGAAAATATACCTAAAACGACTGAAAAGTCCACAGTCATGATAGCAGAAGAACTGGAGCTGGTCAAAAGGAGGGAGTACAATCTCTCTGATGAGCAGGGTTTCCCACAGTGTATTATGAGCCTGCTCTGTGAGGCGAAGGCTCTGAGGAGGAGCTGCTTCTGGAAGGAGGTGCTCTGTCCAAACAGCCATTTTGCAGTTAAATGGTTGCCATGGAGATTAAAGGATTTCTAAAATACTCATGAAAACAATCAAGGAAACACTCCAAGTATGTATTTGATGAGAAAATAACATAAAAGTTACATTTTTCATAATACTGCCCCTTTAAAGGGTGAGATTACTATGGAAAATCAACTTAAAAAAAAAATCTTTATCTCACATGATGCTGTCATTTGCAGAGATGCACTGATTTGATATCAATAGTCCTGATATTGAAAATAATTTTTGATCAGGAATCAGTGGCAATGGACCCAATCCATAAAGACATGTATTCAGTAAAATTCTATGCTTTATTTTCCAATAAATATTTTATTGGCCACTCACACACTTTTATTTTGGGAGGAATTACAAGCCTGCTGATCTTATCATAGAATGTATTTGATGCTCCTAAGAATGGTTGCAAATGCCATCAATAGACAGCATGGAGAAGCACTGTTTTGATGATGTGAAGGGGGCTTGTCAGAAAAGGTGGGAGGTTTTTAAACACACAAGCTGATTTCAAGGATTCGGATATGACTATGATACAAAGTCAAATTTCTCTTAAGTTGTTTTTATAGATACAGCATTTCTGTGAAATACTATATTATGTTATTTAAAGAGACAATTAATAAATGGCACTATGTGTCTAGAAAATAAATAATGACCCCTTGGTCTTTTTGACTCACCTCGGATGCAGGTCCAGCAGTCCTCCCTTTTGTTATGCTTCTGCAGCTCATCCTGGGTCACTTCCATAAGGCGCCCTCTCAGCCCTGTCAAGTCTTTTCCACTTTTGGCAAACCGGATCCAGTCCATCAGACTGTGGCCTGGCTTCAGGGACACCTATCACACAGAGGTAAACAAGAGGGCGTGAAGCTGCTGCTTGCAAAGAAATTAAATATTCAATGATTGGTCACTAATGTGCCAGTTAGTGTTAGAAAGAAGAAAAAAAAAAAGGAAATACGTAGGTCGCGACAGTGACATTAATGTTGGTTACAAAGCTTTCTCATCTCTGCTTGGTATATGGTTCCAGTGTTACCTTGTTCCTCCCCGACTGTGCGGACGGGGAGACCCTCTGTTGGGAGCTGGGCGCAGGGAACGACTGGTTCGGGATGTTCAACATGTTATGAAAGCTGCTCCAGTTTTGTATAAAACCTATTCAAACAGTAGCAGTTTAGCACAAGCACAGAGGAGCAGGAGGTGATATGTGGTCACATACGCAGCATTCTGTAACAACTCCAGACAGCTTCCGTGTTGTTAACATCCCTTTAACACTGATGCATCAAGGATAGGTTAAGCTAGGCTAGGCTAAAACGAAATAACTCTCAATCGGCCTCATTCACGAGAACTACTGCGGCACTGTCACTTTAATCAACAAAGGCATACATTGTTTTTTCGTAAGAACTGTTATGTCACTCGATATGTGAGAATTAACTACGAGTTAATGTCCTGTGCCTCACAGTTTCCGTTTCCAAGGCATGTGGCGCCTATGCTGACGTGACAGTTATGTCAACAAATTGCGACAATCCTGTATGGCAGGCCGTTTAAACATAACATCCACACTGTTTTCAGATATCTAAAATTGGTTTATTGACTAGACCAGTGCTGGAGAAAGAAATCGAACTATTTTTGTAACTCAGTAAGAAAGGGTTGTAACCCTTATATGCCATCTCCCTGTTGTAACAGGGAGACAGAGGTTAATACGGAGATGGCATATAAGATAAGAGACAAGACAAGATAAGATAAAATAATTTTATTAGTCTCCCATAGGAGAAATTTATCTTGGTACCCTAACATAGTTATTATTACCTCCTCTTTTAGTGTTGTCTCATTTATTTAGTTTTTATACTTTGTTTTTATCTGATGGGTCTTTAATTTTATTGTTTATATTAATGGGATCTACAAAGGGGTGGCGGGTGCGGTCAGGTACTGCTCGGCCTTGCTGCGACTGTCTGCTGTAATAAATCAATGGGTTCGCTGTGCAGCTGTGAGTGCGCCCAGTAATCAGCCGTGACTGATTATTTTGTCCAAGAACAATATAAAACACGACTTAATCAGTTAATTTCCCCCCGCCCCCAATTTCCTATTGTTTCTGAACTCTTCGTGCTTTACTAGAGCAGTGAGTGTGCAATACATCGCGGAAGGTTTTGAGTCGATCTCGGCATTAGGTGACAAACTGAACACCACCAGGAGGCTGAGATCAGCACGTCCTCCTCTGGCATATCAAAACGTTTGTTACTTTATTAAAGAACAGAAACAAAAACAAAACGTGTTCAAATTAATGATCCAACAATAATAATCTCGGTAATTATTGTTTCAACAATAATTACACAGATTTGCGCAACAAGGTGTTGCGCAAATCTGTGTA